ACCGCCTCGGGGGCACGGCCGCCCCGGGGCGACGAGGAGGAGCGGGACGGCGCCTCGGAGAAGGGGAAGAGCTCGGGCCCCAGCGCCAGGAAAGGCAAGGGACAGATCGAGAAGAGGAAGCTGCGGGAGAAGCGGCGCTCCACCGGTGTGGTCAACATCCCGGCCGCGGAGGTGAGCCGGGCGGGGGCCGCCGCCCCGCGTCTTCCTCCCGGGAGCTGCTCGCTCTCCGGGGCCCAGAGCCTTCCTATTCTCGCTGGTGCTGCTTATCCTTTCACCGCATTCGGCAGGCAGAGGGTGATGAAGTTTTACTTTAAACAGATGCTTCCTGGGAAGTTCCCCAAAGTAGGACACGTGCTTTTCAAGCTTCCTGGCTAAGGTCTCAGACCCAGGATCTTTCTTTACCGTGTTAGAAGGATGAATTGGGGCTCTAGGACGTCCCCACCCAGACTTGTCTGTTATTGCCTGATCAGTTAGAAAAATTGATTAATGGTGGTGACGACATTCTCTAGTTTCTCATGTCCGGTCTCAAGTTATCAGATTGTTTATCTCTTGTTTCTTAACAGTGTTTAATGGCACCTGCAAAGAAAATGTGGTCTTAGCAGTAGCCCAGACAGTTATATCTTGCCCTGAACCCAAAATGAGTATATCCAGAGAAATGCATGCATAGTCGCACATATAACGCGCTTTTTATAAATTGTGCACCCCAACACACACAGCTTTTTTTCCTGAGTGCTATTCAGGACAATAGGGATGTTGTAGCAACCCACAATGGTCTTTGCTAAGACGATCGTCTCATGTATTGAAGTACTGTATCTGGAAAACATTTGTGGTAGGGTTTTGAGGAATTTTTTTTTTTTTTTTGGTATTTTTGGGCAGTCAAAACATTGCCGCAGGCAGCATCATCTTCCCATTAGACTGGTAAAAATTTTCACTTAGTGTGCAATCACACCTCCCTCCACGAGAAACAAACCATCCCAGGCAAGTGTTGGATACTTAAGTAGTTCAGTAGGGATGTGGTACAACTACCCTGTTTGACCCTAAGTAGCAGAATCTATTCCTCATTGGCTCTTTGGGTTTTCACCTTTTTTTTTTTTTTTGAGATAGTCTCACTCTATCCCCCTGGGTAGAGTGTGGAGGTGTCTTAGCTCAAAGCAACCTCAAACTCTTGGGCTCAAGCCATTCTTTTGCCTCACTTCCTGAGTAGCTGGGACTATAGGTGCCTCCCCCCTATTTTTAGAGATGGGGGTCTGCCTCTTACTCAGGCTGGTCTTGAACCCCTAAACTCTGGCAATGCACCCGCTTTGGCCTCTGAAGTACTAGGATTACAGGTGTGAGCCACAGCCCCTGATTACTCTTGGCCTTCTAATACACTCAGTTTGCCTCTTAGTAAATAACTATTAAGAATTTACTAACTTTAAAGCATTTTCAATAATTAGGGTATGTATCAAATATGCCCCAATTTTTAGTATTAATAGGATTTCCATATCTGGAAAATCACCGTGTGTGTCTTTGTAGGGTATATTTTTATATGAGTGCTTCAGAGAGATTTTTATCAGCCAGCAAGACTGTCCTCTGCGGTTTGCTACTTGCACAAAAGATCTGTTATTCATTAAATTGCTTTAAAAGGAATTCGTAAGAGTGGTAATCAAATTTCCAGGTTTTTTTTTTTTAAGTTAAAAATATGAAGATTAAGGGGAAATTGAAGACAAGTCTTTGGAAAAGCTACATTCCTCAGCTTTATTTTTAAAAGTAGCTGATGGTCCAAATAAAAGAATTTGTCATTTTCAGTTTTTTCCTCATTGTTCATCTAAAAAGGGGTCTTATTTTGGGAAATATCTTGGCAGATATTGAACTTCACTTTTCTTTTTGGCTGCTTGTGCTAAGATATTTTACAAGTACCATTTTTTTTAAAAATAGGGGTAACGTTTAGAGGGGGAGAGGGAAGAAATAAGTAGGGTATTATCTAGTGAGATCCCTAAGAAACATCCTTTGTTAATGCTCCTGCTTTGAGTAAGGAACACAGTGCTGAGAATGTAGATTACTCCCCACTACAATTGAGTCTAATACTCTGGAATGTTTTTCGTTTGGGTGTTGGCAACTCCTAAATTTAATCTTCCTTAAAAATAAACAACCCAGGGTACCATTTTCTTTTTTCTTTTTTTGTCTGTGGAATTTGAACCTTTTTATTGAATAGGGAATTGAGGAGGGAGGGCTTTGAGGTTGTCTCTGTTTGAAGCTGTAGGACCCCCAAAAACATGGTAATGTTTTACTACTGCATCTAATTAACAGACATGCTTCTTGAGTGCCTCATCTCCATATTTTCAGCTTTTAAGAAAAACTTTAAGTCTTTTATATTATTTTAATAGTGGTAAAATATATTATGCAAAACCTTAAAGGTGAACTATTTCATATCTTTAGGTTGACTTTTGGAAATTGTGCCGTTTCTCCTAGTAGTTTTAACCATGGAAATGCCAGGTGCTGTGGAATTTATGTGTTTATAATTTAGCACTCTTTTTTTATTTTTTATTTTTATTTTTTATTTTTTTGGCTGGGGCCAGGTTTGAACACTGGTATATGGGGCAGGTGCCCTACTCCTTGAGCCACAGGTGCCACCCCAAGCACTCTTGTTTTAAAAAGACATATTACATTTTGCAAACTTCTCAGGTATGAAAATACTATAAAAGAATGAAAGTGACCATTCTATCGGTATTTAAGAGTAGGCTTGCATTTTATCTAATACTGAGTGAGACCCTTATTTTCAGAGGCTATTCCCGTTCAAATTTGTATTAGTAGATTGACATGTAGTAGAGAGCGTATTTTAGTGGTTGATAAGCATTAAGATCCTTCAAAAATGCTTACTAAATATATGTATAATACTTTCATTGTGACTTTAACTCATTTTTCTAGTTACAGAGCAAGTTACTAGGTACTTGTTTAAGTACCTGACAACAGCTAAAGATAGCAAACCAACTAGAAAGTTTTCGCAGGGAAGCATGTCAGAAACTGAAACAGTCTGATTTGGGGGGTAGGAAACTGTGTGTAATGACTGTAAAGTTCAAATATCTAGATACTCTCGAATGAGATAAACTTTAGTTCTCATTTACTAAGAGGTTTTCTTTGTTTGTTTGTAGTTTCTGGCTGGGGGTCTGGTTTGAACCTGCCACCTCTGGTATATGGGGCCAGGGCTCTACTCCTTGAGCCACAGGTGCTGCCCTACTGAGGTTTAAAAAATAAACAAACTTCTAAACTGTGACTTTTTCTTTTTTGGTAATAATTAGCCTAAATTGGCTAATTTGAACATTTCATACTTCCTGCCAATAATTTTTGTGTGTGTTTATCAGGTCAGTCAAATATTTATTACATGTCTATGTTCAAGGCATTATCTCTAAGCACTGGAGAAAACAGGAAGAATAAGGCAGTATATATTCTCAAGGAGCAAGGATGTAATCTAGGAAGAAGGGTAAAGTGTAGTCACATGAAAAAACTTCAGTGCTAACTTAATAGTTTAAAAGCTTTCTTAATGCAGGCTGGGAGTGGGAGCGGTGGCTCATGCCTGTAATCCTAGCACCTCGGGAGGCCGAGGCGGGTAGATTGCTCAAGCTCACCAGTTCGCCAGCCTGAGCAATAGTAAGACCCTATCACTACTTAAAATAGAAAAACTGAGCTAAGAGGATCGCTCGAGCCCAGGAGTTGTAGGTTTCTGTGAGCTGTGGTGCCACAGCACTCTAGCTCGAGCAATAGCTTGAGACTCTGTCTCAAAAAAAAAAAAAAAAAAAAATAGAAGTTTTCTTAATGCAGCATATAACTATTTATCAGAAATGTTATGGTTATAGGGAAGAGATGATTAGACTGGGGGAAGCTCTTGAGGATGAGTCTTGTCCTGAGTCCTATATATTTTTCTGTATCTATATATTTATACGTATATTCTCACATAGGTACACGTGTACGTAACAGTATAATATTTTAAATGTCGGAGAGCAGTGGTTCTGAACTCTGGTAACACATAGATATCATGTGAGGATCTTAAAACAATGTTCTCCATGCTGATTTCTTGCCTTCTTCATTCACCTCCTCCTCCCTCAATGGTTTAATGGATCTGGGATAGATCCCAGGCATGAATATTTTTATAAGCTCCCCATGTGATTCCAGTGTGAGTCAGGGTTAAGAACTTGGGCTGCATTCTGGGTACAGAAATGAATTGGACAGAGGCCTTGCCTACAAGTTTACTTGCAAGTGATAATAAGGAAATATGGTAAGTGATGGGTATAGCTTTTTCCTTGAGCAGGGTAATAGTTGAGGAAAGCTCCCTAGACAATTGCTCTCAGAATGCTTGTGAAGTTACTGCCATTGAGTAAGTTTCATCAGGCAGAGGTGGCCCTGAAGTTTTGGTTCAGGTATAAAAGTTAAAATATATAGTATTTAAAACTGCTGTTTGCATAGTGGTTAAAGTGCTTTATATACTTAATGCCCACAGCATTCCCATGTGTTTATTAGTTATAATTACTCTTTTTATCCCATTACCAGAGGAGAAAATAGAGGCGTAGAGCTTAAATGACTCAAGATCACACAGAAAGTGACAGAATAATATTTTATGTATGTATGTATGTATGTATTTATGAGACAGGTTCATTCTTGTCCTGGGCTAGAGTGTCCTGGCATCAGCCTAGCTCAAAGCAACTTCAAGCTGCTGGGCTCTCGTGATCCTCCTGCCTCAGCCTCCCGAGTAGCTAGGACTTACTTGCTGCTGCTTCTTTTTTTAAATAGAGACAGAGTCTTGCTCAGGGTCCTCAAACTTTTTAAACGGGACCACTTCACTGTCCCTCACACCATTGGAGGGCCAGACTGCGGGCCCCAGGACGAGTCAGCTGCTAAGTAGGACAGGCAGTGGCGGCAAAAACACCTGGTGGGCTGGATAAATGTCCTAGGTAGGCTGCATGTGGCCCACGGGCCGTAGTTTGAGGATGCCTGGTCTTGCTTGTGCTCAGGCTCAAGCTCATCTGGAACTCCTGAGCTCAAGTGGTCTTCCTGCCTCGCCTCCCACAGTGCTAGGATTACTCAGTGAACCACTGTGCTTGGCCTCAAAGTAATATTTTAAATGTTTTTCTGTTTTTTTGTATATGTGGGCATTTAGGGAAAGGGGAATTTTTAAGAATTAACCTACCTTGTGTTAT